ATGTTAATCTTATGCCACAAAATTTGTTTTATTTATGAGAAGTGTAGCAAATTTCTAGAGACGTAATGTGGTTATCAAGCCAATGTGTGATATGGTGGTAGGTTTAATTTCCTTGGATGCACACTTGAAGATTTTAAAAAACTGTAGACAAAAAACAACAACATGATAGTGGTAATTCTATATAAATCCCAAGTTCATGTTGTTTGAAATATAAGAAAAGGGAGTCCTTGAGATAAAATACTGTCTTATGCCCTGTTGCAGTTATTGTGAATATGTCCATATCAATCAATAAATTGGATAACAAACTACATTTTGACATGCTAGTATTAACTAGGACAGCTGACAGATTTTGCTTACCGTGTATATAGCCATGTTGCAAATATGTGATAATATAGTTCTAAATAGAAGACTGCAAAGAACACAGGTAATGTGGTGAAATGCACTTGAACATGCTATTTTCTGGCAGATTCAGTTCACCATAGCGATAGACAATTGGACGATTTCCATTTAATCTGCGAAGACTTTCTCTGTTCTTTAGGAACAACCCCAAACCAAAGGACTTCTCTCCCCCACATCTACTGGAACAAAGGAAACTTGTTAGAAAAGAGAACAAGGAACAGATTTTTGTGTATACATAAGGACTTCTAGCTTAGTTGTGGTTCTGAAAATGCATTCATGGTCTAAATCATGTATGGTTCCTTAACTGTACCAGATATACGTCTGCCTACTGTAGTGTTTTATATACCCCAAAATTGTGTGGTACAAATAAGTAGATCATGACCTGGGATTCTTCAGATTTTTCAAGTAACAATTCCATTGTTCTGACATCATGGTTACTATCCAATTCAGACTAGCATACATAAATTACGCCTAGGGTATGAAAGATCCTGGAATTCTGAAGTCTGCCGATCGTTATCTTGGATACTTCACAATATCTGTATTCACAAATAGAAGGCTGGTTATCTTTTTGTGAAAGCTTTGGAGTTGATGCAGAGGTGTTAAAAACTGAAAACTGCTTTGGATTTGGGTCATGGACCTTATGGACTGTAGAGACACTGGTAATATTTCTCTTATAAGATAAGTACCAGTTTTAATCTCCAGACTTTCACTGATGCAACCGTATTCTGAGGGGTGTTGCGTTTTCCAGTAAGCAACTGATTCTGAATTCCAGCTGGTGCCTGTGCTCTCCAATTTTGTCTTGTCTAATGATTTGAAATATTTTCTGCTATAGGTATGTACATTAACCTTTATGTGTTGAAGTATCTCATTAATCAATTTGAAGATTCAGTTTCTTACCCTCAAATTGATTAATGAGGGAAATACAATACAAGTGCCATTTTATTCCATATAAATAGGCACTTTCCCTGCTTAATACATGAGATTTTGATGAGCATAAACTGATCTATGGAACTTGAACCCTACCCATTTTAGATGGATCCTGGCTAAAAAAATTCTACGTGTACACAAGTAATCCCACCAGCCCCAGCCTATGGATACTTGAGCACTTTATTGTCATTATGCCAGCTGTAGACAGCTGATTTCTCATGTGTCTACAGGTCACAACAGTACTTGCACAAAATCTAGCAACTGTATTCATAACCTGTGCATTTTGGTCAGAGAGCATCTGGGCAAGGCAAAATTCTGCCATCCTGCTGGTCATGATAGAATAGGTATGGTTAAAACATGGCTTCCTTAGTAAAAAGTGCAATGTAAAAGGTTATGGCTGTGTCTTTACTGATTTATTTACAGGGACAAATACTTTCATGATACAGGACCCACTTATATTTTCCCTTAAAGAAAGCAAAAGATAAAATATTAAATCATGGTAACGTAAATGTTTTCCTATACTTCGGGATTGCTAAATAATGAGAGCAGCCAAAAGGTTTATTAATACCCCCCCCCCCCTCCAAAAGAGAGTATTTGGTGATTTTGTCATTCTCTGTTTCTTATATGTTGCTGGTTGACAGAAATAGTGTTACTGTAGTCAAGTGACATCAAAGATCCCTAACCCAGAGGATTAAATTATCTTATTTAGTTAACTGTTTCCATATGTAACTGTTAACTGTTTCTGTAACTTATTATTATTATTATTATTATTATTATTATTATTATTATTATTATGTTTATATGTTCCAAATTTAAAATGCAGGATTGGAACAGCAGTCAAAGCAAAACAATTTGCACCCAAGGCCAAGCCACCATGGCTACTGTAGGTGAGGGAGCATCTTTGATAGTTTCCCTGGATAGAGATCAGGTTTAAACTGTCTGGTGTGTGTGCCTACTGAGGCAGGCCACATGAGGAAGGTGGATCCTCCTCTGTCCCTCTTTCTGTCCTTTTTTATGCTGGATCCGCAAGAGTACTGCATCTCTCCACAGGATCTCTGGCCAGGATTTGTGTGGGATTGGCATGGAGATGAGGGTGGACCGCTGAATAGGAGGCACTGCTGGAAGTGCCAGGCAAGTTGGTATTTTTGAACTAGGCCTTTCCCTCCTTGCTCCCTCTCGTTCCTTGTCCTAGTGGATAATAGGGTTCAAATTACTATGCCTTTGCCTCTCAGGTATTTATCCAACAATTTTGGCAGTTTTGGCATGAATTTCTCAGCAGAGTAACATTCAGAGGTAGGGCTGTATAAGGCTGCAAAGTCATTTGGTCCGACCCGACATGGAGTCTGCCCACTTAACGTTGTTCCTGTTGCTTCTCTGAACCCCCACACTGACTCTTCTGTGGACCAGGTGCTGCTAACTATTCAGACCCAAGTCGTTTCCAGGTTCCTTTCCTCAAGCAGATGCATTTGCTTCTTTTGCTCTTGGTTTTGCTGGCTAAGCTGAAGCTGGTAAGCGGATGTGTGCCACACATCCTTTGGAACTTTAATTTGATTTTTAATATATATTTTTTGTAATTTATTAGATAGATAGATAGATAGATAGATAGATAGATAGATAGATAGATAGATAGACAGCACAATATTGTGAAATTAATCTGCAGAGCATTAAAAAGTTGAAATTATTGTGAACCATACAGCTGGGATACAGCCTTGACCGTGAATATGTGAACAATAGAAATAACACAATGCCCCCCCCCCCTTTCAGTGTGTGCAAGCAGAGCTGACATACTTTTTCCAGGCATTCTCTGCTGTCATAGTCCCCTGTAATTTCCATTAGCTGGACTAATGCAAAAGTACTCTGAGATACCTATGGTTCGTGACCTGTCCAATGGGAGTCCCATTGATTTGTCATTTATGGACGACCTTTTTACTAAAAACTGTCATCTTTATTTAATTGTAAATAAGCCACTCATCTTTCACTTTTAAAGAGTTCTGGTCCAGACTATTATTGTAGGACACATTAGCAACAATGCACTTGAACTGAAGCTACATAAAGCTGGGATCTGTGGGAGAAATAGCGTGAGTCGTGTATGGAAAAATAGAACCTCTAAACCAGTGGTTCTTGACCTTTGGGTCCCCAGATGTTTTGGCCTACAACTCCCAGAAGTCCCAGCCAGTTTATCAGCTGTTAGAATAGCTGGGAGTCGATGGCCAAAAGATATGGGGACCCACAGATTGAGGACCACTGCATTGCTCTAAATTGTAATTAGGTGATTTGCAAAATGATTTTGCTTTCATTATTATGCTGCTATGGTTCATGACGGCCGAATGGAATTCCAGCTGGGGCTTGATCTTACGGGTCAGGCCCAGAAAACTGCATAACTAGTTCTGTTTTAGCATGTGCACTCTTCACTGCAAGTCATATATTATAAATTGTTTTTGCACTTTGAAAAGTGGTTTGCTGTTACTTGGAAGCCAACTGTTTACATTTTTGTCAGAATCTTGCTTTGCCTTTTATATAGCAAACTTTTATATTGCTCTCTAGGTCTCAGCTAGGATTTTTTTTAAAGGCATACATGTTGCAGCAGCCTGATTGTGAAGAAAATCCTGGATTCCTCAGTCACTACAATTTGGGAAAATATCATAGAGCTTGTAGTGATCAGGAACTAAATCATCAAAGTTTGAACATTTCTGTCCCTTTTATTATAATGCTTGTTTATTGCTCATGCCTATCTGTCTCGTCTTTCTTTCAGTTCAATGAAACTGCATTGTTCTTGTTATTTTTGTTTAATGTTTAATATTGGGCCCAAGCCCTTCTTGGCCTTTCTACAGCAAATCTTCTTTTGACAAGCAAATAAAAAGTGTGGGTTTTTACTAACATAGTAAAAATTAGGTACTTTCAACTTAGGCATTTGGAGATGTGTTTTCAGTCCTTTGTTTTTTGCCTTTGCTGGACTTGGTCCCAGTTGAAATTAGCCAGAGGCAGCTTTCTTCTGCACAATGATGTCACTGTGTTTTTTATACATACCCTAAATTTTATGGAAGCCAGTTGGAAGCATTTCTGTCAGTGTCATTTATGTAAAATACGGTCCCACTCTCATCTAACAAATGTTGTCAAAAACCAAAGGGCATGAGCATTGTCTTTTGTGTGTTCTGTGCTGCCCAGAAGCAATCTTTCAAATGCCCTTTCAGTTAAAGCAGTACATGCTTATGCTGGGAATGTTGCTCGGTGCACTTTTTACTAACATGAATGAAACAAGAGGGCCCTGGAGTAAAGAGAAGGTGTTAAGTTCAAAGTCAACATTCCCCCATCTATAAAACTCAAGTAGCTGCTGTGATGGGTCAAGTCCGTTTTCTAAGAGGCAGGCGCCCCTGAGGAAAAAAAAAATGTGCTGGTTAGATAAAATTATTTTAAATAATGCCATGTTTAATTTTATATGAGATTTCCATTTCCCCTTCAAATCTAATACACAGTCTCATACAAAATGCACATATTGAAAAACCCCTATGCATCTCTCCTTTATATTCAGTGCTGTGTTCTCTAGAGAAGTGCATTTTCCTTATCTCTTGAGCTACGGACTTGTAGAGATCTAGCACACAGATGAGAAGAAAAATACAGATTTGTGAGCCGAGGCACTGTTGTGACTTAATCATGTTCCTTCTCTCTCTTTTCAGCATTCGTCATCATGATAATTTTAGCACTTCTCCGCATCAGCAAGGGTCACGGGAAAGGTCATCCTCCACTGGCACAACTCTCAGGAATCGGCAATCTCTTTGGGGTGTGCATTTATTCCTTCATGTGCCAGCATTCCCTGCCATCCCTGATTACGCCTATCTCCAAAAAGAAACACGTTAACAAGTTGGTCCTTCTGGATTATGTCTTAATACTGGGCTTCTACAGTCTCCTGTCTTTTACTGCTATCTATTGCTTCCAGAATGGGACACTCATGGACATGTATACGCTCAACTTTACTAACTGTGATATTGTTAATAATGTTTTCATCCGCTACTTCCTGGGCCTCTTCCCAGTCTTCACCATTAGTACCAATTTCCCTATAATTGCTGTAACTTTGAGAAACAATTGGAAGACCCTCTTCCATCGAGAAGGGGAAACATACCCATGGATAGTAGATAGGCTTGTTTTCCCAGTCATCACACTGATTCCTCCAATTCTTGTGGCTTTCTGTACCCATGATCTGGAAAAGCTGGTGGGCATTACTGGGGCCTATGCTGGAAATGGGATCCAGTACATCATCCCTGCTTGCTTAGCATACTGTAGCCGTAAAGACTCTCGGCTGGTCTCGGCTGGGAGTGGCACGCTGAATAAACATTTGTCCCCTTTTCGGCACACATTCTGGATTGGATTTGTGCTACTCTGGGGCCTTTTTTGCTTTCTGTTTGTGACTGCAAATATTGTCTTGAATGAAACCAAGCTTTGATGATGGAACAACACTACTTGTTACAGAAGAACCTGGAGAGAGACAGTAAGAACTGTCAATCAACTTGCTTGAGCAGGATGCTAACTTTATCCATTCTGGGTAGAATTCTGCCCTTTTAAATTCAGATTTTCCAGTCAATGAATGAAGTTGTGGGCTTGACTACAGATGCCTGGTACCTGACCAACTGACCTGACCACAATACAGGCCATCTTCTTCTCTTCTGCTGTGATATATCTGAGGCTGTCAGATATACATCTCTTCCTCTTCCTCAAGAATGATGCAGAAGACCAGCATTGCTTCTGTCATTCGGGAAAGCAGGCAGTGGATCAAGCAAGCAATGAACTGTTGTCATGCTTATCATCTCCCTAAAGTGACCTTCTCCTAACTAACAGGAAACAAAATAAAACAGAAGCAGGGTGGACACATGTTGCGTCATGTTGTGTGGTGTACAGGGCACCCCAAGCTGTGGAACGTGGGAAGAGACTGTCTCAGTAGTGATTTTTCTCCCACTTCAATAATTATTCTCCCCTCTCCCCCATGTTTAGTGTCTTTTCTATTTCTGTTAAAGCCTTTCCAACTCACATTCATGGAATGGGATTAGATTCAAAAATGCTGTGACCGTTTAAATGCAAATTTCATTTGTTTTTTAAAATATCTTTATTTTGTTTTGTTTTTGTACTTCATTTGTAGTCTGTGATGTTCCTTCCTCAATTCTTTTTATGCACTGTGTGGGTGAGAAGGGTGTCTTGTTAAAAACTACCAGCTGGGTGGCACAGAGAACCTGCCTGATGAAAAATAAAAGGGAAATCCTGCTTCTACAGTTGCTGAATGCTGCTAAGTAGTTTGTATACTGTCATGGTCCTCTGTTTCACAGTAGGTTCGCAGCTCAGGTACAGGCTTCACCATTTGTTTGTATCTAAAGGTGCTAATTATTCCCAGTATGGATAATGTGTAAAGCCCAGGTTTATCTCTGGTGGCTTAGGCTGGATGTTTTCCAGATTTAAAGGGAAGACTCGAACCTTACCTTGATATAAAATTATATGAATGTATATCAAGAAGAGTAATATAAACAAAGAGAAGAAAATATTTGCTTTCTGGCTGAAGGTAAAACAACTATTATTTTCTAATGCTTGCTATGTTTTTAAAAAATGATTTTGTCTTCTCTGTGAAAAAGATCACCTTCCTCTCCCCATGCTGAAGGATGGGATGCTTGTGGCAAGAGCAATTACTTGCAATAAAAAGTGTGTTTAGACCTATTCTGCAGGATGGCAGGATACTGCTACATTCTCCTCCTCCACAGTCTTCTTTTCTCTTAAAACCAGATCTCCATCCCAACTCCATGTCTCATCAAAGAATTGGCAAAATTTGGATTTAAATCCATAGTGTCTTTGCAGAAAAATAAAATTTCTCAATCTGCTCTTGGCCATTTTTTTGTGGTGAAGCCAGCAGCGTCATTTAAAAAACCTTGGAAGGGGTCATGGACTACAAACATTTTTAATACAGGAAGTCCCCAAGTTATGAACAAGATAGGTTCTGTAGGTCTGTTCTTAATTTGAATTTGTATGTAAGTCGGAACAGCTATATTTTTAAGTGTAACTCCAGCTATATATATATATATATGGCCATGTTTCAATATCCAAAGCATATGCATGCTTTGGATAGCATAGGGAAGGGTAAACTCCCCTGTGATGTTTGTTTTACCATCTTTGTCCTTGTTTAGAAAATTTCACCTCACTTTCTGTCCCTATAATAATTGGATTTTGAAAAAAATGGCTTTCTGTGAAAACAAGGATTGACGAGAAAGCATCAATGAGATTTTTTTTCCCCCATGATAACTTTTCCAGGAGTGAATTTTCCTTCATAGGGGTAGATTTCTCTCACTTCCTGTTGTCTCATCCTTATTTGTAACTATGAGTTGTTTCTAAGCTGGATGTTTACAAGTCGGGGACTGCCTGCATAAGGACAGTTTTGATTTGACTTTCTTAGGCTATAAATATCTTGAAGCTGCTTTTTCTTTTGTTTTCTTTTATTAAATTTCAATCTTTCAAACCCCTGGATTATGTTTGCACTCATCTAGTCTGGTGTTGCTGTGATATTAAATTTGACTTTGAACCAAAAGGAGCTGATAAATTCAGTACTGTTGCTTTTTAAAATCAAAATTATTATCAAATACAGTCATCTAAACCAAATTGCTTTTGCTATTGTGATTAGCCAGGGCTGGATTTGTTTTTTTTAAAAACACACAGAAACCTTTCTCCTTTACTGAGAGCAATGCAACTTTTCTCAGATCATAAGATATCATTTTGCATAATACTGAAGTTTGCTGGCTGTAGAGAGTTTTCTCCAGCACATCAAAATCTAATGGCACCCACCCTCTTCTTCATCTCAAGCTGTACTTGGCTGCCCTTGGTGGAACATTGGATTCACATCTACAGAGAACTGGCTGATACCTGATGCTGCTTCTTTGACACCAAGTTACCAAGAGCTCCCTGTGAGTGAATGCTTGGTCTCAATTCTCAATGGCTGGTTTAAGGATTTGAAACAGAATCACAGTTGTTGCATTGGTTTAGCAACTGCCTCTTTTTCTTTGTCATTCTTTCCCACAAGTATTATAAGATTCGGTCTGACTGGGGCTGGAAGAGAGCACAGATGGCCGTGACAGGGCTATCACATATTGGCTGACTCTGTCCTCATGCAATATGAGACAGACAAGGATTGGATCAGTGTTGACATCTTAGCAGCAACACCCCCCCTCCCCCCCCCCAAATATACTTTGTAAAGAGACAAGAATTGCATTGTGGCAATCTGTTTTTATCTGATGATAGAACTCCTGAAGAGTACAGATTCACATTAACTTCTGCCTTCTGGAAGGCTGATTGAATTTCTTACTTTTTTCAAATTGGTCATTCTATATGTATGCTATCATAATACATTCCTATACTTCATACTTATACAACCTTGTATATACAACTTTTTAAAGTTTTTCTTGCATGTTTTGGTTTTCTTCCTTGCAACTCAGTTTGGAAGACCTTTCCTCATAAGCAGAATTCATTATTATCTTAATTTATATTGCACTCAGAGCCAGAGAAATTATATAATTTGATATGCTGCAGCAGCACTGCTTTAGACTCACGTTGCCTAAGTTTACCACCACCACCACCAGCAGCAGCCTGGTTATTTTTCTCAGGCTGGGATTTCTCCTAGTCCTCGGAAGTCCTATTTTTCATCTTGAAAAGATCTGAGTATGCATCAAAGCACAACTGCTTTCATGAATTGCTTTCTACTAAAAAGATGTTGTATCTGGCAGCTTCACTATTTTCACCATTTTAAATTTACTGTGTTCCTGGAGATTTCCCCTGAATCACTTTTTATTCAAATCCTGTGTTGCATTACATGCCTTTTTGGCTTAAACTATTTTGATTCTTCTTTATTGTAGCATCAAAGGTTGTAAAATGAGAAAATTTATACTACAGTTGTTCTCTGATTTCAGGACATACAGAGATGGCTTTCTTTCTGCACAAGAAAGCTTTTAAAATGGCTCAGCAGTAGTGCCTTCCATGGCTTCCTTGCCTTTTAGAGCTCCCTTTTGATTGGTTTGCATCAGAGTAACTTTCCAAGGTTCCTGCAATATGTAAGCAATGGAGGAATCTACCTCAGTGAATGCATGCACTAGATAGAAAAGATTAGTATTCATTTCAGAAAAATGCCTTAAAACATGGAATATACATGAGTGTATCAGGGGTGTGTGCAAGTGTGCGCCTCATTAGCTTTGTTGCCATAAGCCACATGGATGGAATCCAGGGCTGAACCCAGCTGAGTATGATACAGTACCTGGTGTCTTCCCACATCTGCTTTGACATGAGATGATATTTTTCATTGGCTATTATAATGGAGCTCTTCTTCCCTACGACTCTTGGCTGTACCATGTCCTCGGCTTGTCCCTGTATGTAATTATTTTTCTGGAAGGCATAAAGAAATAAATGCAGATTATGCATCTGTTGTGGGTTGGCCTTTTCCTGCATGCAGTAAGGGAGGGAATGTGGAATGGGTTTCTGTTGATGGATCAGTTGGCAAGAGCAAGCCATGGGGTGTGGGTGACAGCAGTTCATGGAGCAACTCCTGCATCCTCCTGTCCCTCTGCATTAGCCTCTTGTTTCTCAGAGCGCTAGGTGTTCTCTGAAAACTCAATTAAAACAGCTGTACCTTACCCATCTCAATTACATTTCCTTACGCTCAAAAACTAAACAAATTGAATCATTTCACCACCTCAGGCAGCAAATGAAGTTTCTTCTGGCAAATTTATTATCATCATAAAACACAGCATGATTTATGTTAAAGTATTAAAAGGCATCTTCACGATTGGAAATAAACAGTTTCTGCTCTCTCCGTCTGTGGCTCACTCTTTCTTTCCCTCTGAGGAATTAAAGTGCAATGGGGGATTTATTAGTGAGCTGGACTGTAAATCTGATAGCAAAGCAGCACTTGAGCTGAAATCCAAAGACATTCCACGCCTCAAAGACTAAAAAGGGGGAAAGAGCTGCCTTTAAAGCATGCTAGTTGGTGAAAGGGTAGCAGGTTGGAAGAAGAGACTCAGAGAGTGGCCTGGGGGAGAAGCAGCTAAATTTCATCTGCCTTGTTGCTCTTATTTCACTGGAGCTTGAGGAAGTAGCAAAGTGTCAGATGTCAAGATGGTACAACGGTCCTGTCCCTAGCGAGTGCTTCAAAACCTCTGGGTAGTTCTCCACAGGCTTCTGTTTCCCTCTTTAATAGATAGTTTTAAAATATAATTTATAAGAATGTTTTCAATTGCCATGCACTGGGATAAAAAGGAAACCTACAGTATCAATTCAAGGGAATAAATATGCCACGTCAAAGGGCCCCATGTTCAAAGGAGAACAGGTGTGAAACAATCAAACATGTCCCAGCAACTAGATCCAGAAAACACAAGGTAACAAGGTAATGTGGAGTGAATGAAGTACATTTGTTTTGTTTGCAGGGTATTTCTTCATGCTCAAAGAATTCCAGTCTTCCTCCCCCACCTCTGAAAATTATTTAATTTTCTCTGAAAGGAGTCTACAGCTCAAGCATTTGCTTGTATGAATGAGATGGGGAAAATAACCCTATCGCCAAAAAAGTAACAACCAACCAATAGGATGGGATGTGTGTGTGAAATTCCTTTTTTTCTGAGCTTACTTATTTGTTTGACAGGGAACTCCATGTGGCAAGTGACTGATATTTGTACAAATAATGTGCAAGGAATAGAATGTTTGCTGTATAGATCTGTAGGGATTTTGTAACTCGCTTAATTCATGAGTTTTGTTTTCATGCGGGTTTATTTTTTAAACCTTGCACAGTCAGAAGCAGTGTTTTCAGGGAATTTTGTATCTATAAAAACTCATCAAATATGTAGCCACCAACTGTAGCCAGTCCTCTGTGCCCCATCAGTATTCTGTATATGCAGCCCACAACTGAAAATAAGGGTGGGTTTCAAATAATGGCTCACAGATTAGCATCATGCAATACAGTAGAGGACAAAACAAAAAATAAATGGATGTGTGTCCTCTTCGTACATGGTACTCAGAATCCTCTCATTAGAGCTTCCTCCTTTGAAGAATAAGAAACAACTCTGCTTCACTTGGGAGACTGAGAATTTGAATACAAAGTTTCTTTTTGCAGTGAGCAGGAAAGTCCATTTCCTTTGGTGTAAGGATGAATCCTTCATACGCATGGAAGCAGTTTCTGGCACAACAGCAAGATGTGCTGGTACCAAGCTGCCTAGAAGTAGAAAAATGTTTCCTACTTGCCTAATCCAGAGGTGTCCCTTAAGATATGTCACTTCTACAGCATCACACTTTCTGGCAATTTTAAGTGTTTTAGAGGGAGTCTGACTGATCAAACAATAGATCACTGTATTTATACATATTTCACCTTTTCCCCAAGAGCAAACTCTAGGTAGTTTACAGATTATAAAATGGCACACGTAGAGGCAAATACAGTTAAAAACATGCACAGAGTTATAATAAAAAATAATTCTCTATGGAGCAAATGCCATAAAATAGTGATTTACAAGCATATATTAAAAACAGTGCAGCATAAATCAGAAAACCTATAAAACAATTGGTTTCCAATAATCTACCTGAATGAAAACATCTTAATTCTAACAGAAAAAGGATAACAAGGAAGGGGCATGGGAGGCCTCCCAAGGAAGGGTTCCAGAGTGACATGGCAGCCATGTAGAAAGCCCTCTCATGTTCCTGCCAAATGTCTGGGCTGAAGGGTGGGAGCTAACAAATATACCTCTCCTGAAGATATTGTTTGGGCAGGCTCATGTGGGAAGATGTGGCCCTTCACATGGTGTGCTCCTGATCTACATAGGAATTTACAGGACAAATTAAACATGTTGAATTGTGCCTGGAAACAGACTGGCAGCTCTGCTGGAGCTGTTGAAAGAAGGGAGTCATGTATTCCTTGTAATAATAATGTCCCTTTCCTGATAGGGACTCAGTGTCTTGGGAGCAAAACCCATCCTGAATGCCAAGCAAGAAAAAAATGGCAGCCATACCTCCCTGTGTAACTAGTGATCTTCCAGATACATGAGAGGGAAGGGGAACTTTTGGAAGCAGGGCAAGGACTGATCCTGCAAAGCATTCTTTTCATCCTCTCTGCACCACCCCAAAGGACCCTATTGGTTCTGATCTTAAACCCAAGGACCTTATCTATAACAAACAAATAATTATCTGCCACTGCATGTTCCTTGGGAAAATCTCTTTATCATTTGAAGGGGGTCTAGGAGTCTTAGTAGACCACAAGCTGAGTCAACAGTGTGATACAGCAGCTTTAAAGAAAATGATGCAATTCTAGGATGGATGAATAGGAGTATAATGTGAGATTGAGGGAAGTCATAGTCCCAATTTATTCTGCTTTGGTCAGATCTCATATGGAATAAAACCATGTCCAGTTCTGGGCACCACAATACAAGAAGGATATTGACAGGCTGGAACGTGTTCGGAGGAGAGCAACGAAAATAATGGAAGGTCAGGGAGCCAAGCCCGATGAGGAACGACTGAGGAAGCTAGGTATGCTTAGCCTGGAGAACAGAGGCTGAGAGGGGACCTGAGGGTGAGAAGGGTGGCATATAAATGTCGTAAATAAATAAATAAATGTTTAAATATTTGAAAGGATGTCACATTGAGGAGGAGGAAAATTTATTTTCTGCTGCTCTGGTAACTAGGACATGGAGCTATGGATTGAAATTGCAGGAAAAGTGATTCACCTGAACATTAAGAAGAACTTCCTGATGGTAAGAGCTGTTTGAATATGCTGCCTAGGAACATGATGGAGTTATCTTCTCTCAAGATTTTTACGCAGAAGCTGGATGGCCATCTGTCGGGGCAGGGGGGTGCTTTGATTGTATGTTCCTGCCTGGGAGGGAGTTGAACTGGATCACTTTTGTGGTGACTTCCAAGTCTAGGATTCTATGATCTAGATATGGACTAGTTTTATCTTCTGTAACACATATGGGACATATACCCAGTACACATGCATTAATAGCCAATAGCATTGCATTCACTGACATCTGTTTCCAGACTCAAATGGGGAATCTAGTACAGTTTTCATTTGTGCAAGACGTACATGGTACATTGTTTGTTTTGGGGTTTGGATATTTTTTTTTTGCTAACTTGACATTGGATTTAGGCCACAGTTTGTGCATGGAACTATGCTTATTCAAGAGAGCTAGCTGCAAAGAGGAGGCAAATTGGCTTTGTGCTCACTCCTACTTCTTCCTCCCCCATTACTACTGAGGATACCAGCTGTGAGGTTTTGGAATGTGGATGTTCCAGTAAGAATCTGAATGGCATCTCAAAGTCATTTAACACAGCCGACTGACTAGACTCCAGATGGCCACAACTTTGACACTTCTATTCAGCAGGCAATTTGCAAATTCACACTCTTATTCTCAATTAGTTAATCTGAGGAAAAACATTTCCTTTTCCCCCATTTCTCATGGCTAATAGAGTTGGGAATTCTCAATGTATAATTTACAGTGTACTCTCATGATAACTTAATATGGGTTAGTTACAAATTAGCTTAACCTTTAGATGCGATTTGGTGAAATGCCATTTTCCCCCTTCTGAAAGCCTCTTGTTTTAATTCAGTGACATAAAAATATAATTAGGATCATATTCTGTACTTACATACAGTGTCATAGGCTTATGATTCCTTGTTTCTTTTTTCCCCCATGGATTTTACCAGGAAAATAAGTATGCGTGTGAAACCCTTCATGATTTAGCAATGGGACAGACAGCTGACAACAGAAAGTCAGTAAGTGAGCAGCCATACAGTGAAGGGGCTTGGTTTCCTACTCAAATCCATGAAATTAACTTGGAATTGTTTGAAAGTGGATTGTGGAGATTGCAAATAATTACCTAAGTCTCTGCTGAGTTCCTCATAGCATCCTTGCCTACACTTTTAGACAGACATTTAGAATCGAAGGCTTTTAACAAAGTACTGCAAGTGCTGCATTGTCTTAAATTGTATTGATTAACTTAAAACATTTTTTGAATGTAAAGCACCTATCTATAACTACTATCCATATAAAGGTGAATACATATGTGTATGTGGGCAACAATGTATGATTGTGGTTGATTTCCTATTGGCTCCCATTTCCAGAGACCACTGTGACCCCCACCAACAATGGACCTGGATCAAACTTGGCACACAGACACATACACACCCCATGACGAACAGAAAGTCCTGGAGGATTTGGGGGGACTCACCCACAATGGTGGGAGTTGTAGTTCACCCTGCATTAAGAGAGCACTCTGAACCACTGCTGATGGATCTGGAGCACACTTGGCACACAGAACCACTATGGCCAACAGTAAGTACTGGAGGGGTTTGAGGGGGATTAACCTGGCACATGAGTTGTAGTGAACCCGCATCTTTATACATTTTCTTAATGGAACCATTCATAAAATTCCAAAACAAGGACTTTTTCTAATAAATAGTGTTACAAATTACCAAAAATCTAACCCAGAAATTGCCAGGTACCTCAGCTAGTATTTAATAAAAATGAATGTATGTATGATGTGGACAGTGGAGTATTTCTGTTTGTGGCCGATTTATTATTGGCTCCTACTTCCAGAGAGTCCTGTGACCCTCACCAATGATTAATCCCCCATGACTAACAGATAATAATTGGAGGGCTTGGGGGGGGGGGTTGATTTCAGGAGTTGTAGTTTATCTACATCCAAAAAGCCGATAGTTAGATCTTGGATTTTTAGAATTTATACTTCATTCCCATCCAAAGAGCACTGTGAACCCAAACAACAATGGATCTCGACCAAGCTTGGCATGTATACCCAACATGGCCAACTTTGAATA